GAAAGTCCAAAATTGTTAATATTGCAGTATTGTACAAATGAAGTGATGGCACTATGGTCGCCATCCCAGATGATAATAATGCCATCTATGTAACGGCCATAAAAAACAATATGGGACAAAAAAGGGTTATTGTGCCAGATGTAGAGGTCTTCCCAGTAGCCCATAGTTAAATTGGCATAGCTAGGGGCATAATTAGTTCCCATCGCCGTGCCCTGTACTTGTAGATAATAATCATCCAGATGTTTGAAATAGTTATGTTCCAGCGTGAACTTAATACTGTTTAGTATAAACTGTGCCTGTTTGGGGTTCATGTCTGTGAGCTGGGTTAAATGATAATTAAGGGCTGTGAGACCTATGTGATGTGGGATAGAGGTATAAAGAGAGCAGACATCCAGTGAAAGCCAAAGGTACGTGGAGCTCCACGTATAATTATTCAGGGCATCAATCAGCTGGTTCGAATCCTTAATGTATGATGGGAGATTTATTACTATTGGCTGGGCTTGATTAGATGCACATCTAATGCTGTGAGCTATTCTCTGGATTATAGTTGCTGTGAATTACAAAAAATTCAGATTAGGCAAAACTAAACATTATACATTACCACAGCTACAGTGTTTGCTGTACAGCATTACAAGTTCAGGGCTTTTCTTTTTGTTTTTTTTCTTGTTTATGCTGAGATTTGTCATGATGAGATCTCAGCACAAAGAACAACCCCTAAAGTTTTATTTATTTAATAATTTTTAATTACTAATAGTTTTAGGTTAACAAGTTAGACTGAATACTTCTTTTAGCAGATCCTGGTATTTGAATACAGAATAACCTACTGGACACAGTGTCTAAAGGTTGCCATACACGAGTAGATCTTTGATAGAGAAGCATGTTCTATAACATACAGGTGAAACTCGAATAATTAGAATATCATGCAAAAGTTCATTTATTTCACTAATGCAACTTAAAAGGTGAAACTAATATATGAGATAGACTCATTACTGTACGGTCGCACGTCTTCCATCGTCTTCCATCGAACAAGCAGGCTGGAAAACCCGCCAGGAATCATACGATTCTAGGCGAGTGAGTGGCCTGCTGGTTCGACAACTGACGAACGGGCCGGTGTGCGCACGCACACACTGCCCGTTTGCCGTCCTTGCAAGCCCGCCCCTCATTGCAGTCATCGCAAGCCCGCCCCTCAAGGGGGCGGGCTTGCGATGATCGCAAGTACGATCTGCCTGTCCAAGATGGGCAGATCGTACGTTTTTTTAAGTACTTTACAACCATCGCAAGACTAAGGTCTTGCGATGGTTGTAAAGTGTATGGCCACCTTAAGGAGGGAAAGCCTCAAAAGGTAATTGCAAAAGAAGTTGGATGTTCCCAAAGTGCTGTATCAAAGCACATTAATAGAAAGTTATGTGGAAGAAAAAGGTGTTGGGGACTTTCACAAGGAGTGGACTGAGGCTGGAGTCAAGAGCCACCACCCACAGACGGATCCTGGACATGGGCTTCAAATGTCGTATTCCTCTTGTCAAGCCACTCCTGAACAACAAACAACATCAGAAGCGTCTTACCTGGGCTAAAGACAAACGGACCTGGTCTGTTGCTCAGTGGTCCAAAGTCCTCTTTTCTGATGAGAGCAAATGTTGCATCTCATTTGGAAACCAAGGACCCAGAGTATGGAGGAAGAATTGAGAGGCACACACTGCAAGATGCTTGAAGTCCAGTGTGAAGTTTCCACAGTCTGTGTTGATTTGGGGAGCCATGTCATCTGCTGGTGTTGGTCCACTGTGCTTCATTAAGTCCAGGGTCAACGCAGCCGTCTACCAGGAGATTTTGGAGCACTTCATGCTTCTTTCCGCAGACTAGCTCTATGGGGATGCTGACTTCATTTTCCAGCAGGACTTGGCACCTGCCCACACTGCCAAAAGCACAAAAACCTGGTTCAATGACCATGTGATTACTGTGCTTGATTGGCCAGCAAACTTGCCTGACCTGAACCCCATAGAGAATCTAACTATGATCCTCTCAATCTGACCAACATCAAGATGCAGTGCATGCAAGATCACTATGTGAACCCAGAGACATATAATCTGATAAATGTTATAAGGTAAGTTGGAAATTGAAAGGAACAAACCATGAACAAGACCATGAATAATGTATATTTATTTTTACAGGGGTGTGGAATTCCTATTGCCTTTTATTTTTGTTTTTTAAAAATTGAGCTTTAGTTGTTTTTAATGCCTGTGTGTGGCATCAGTGGAGCACAACAGACTTTCAATCAGGGGCGGATCCAGAGTCTAGTCTCGGGGGGGGGAATAATAAACGCAGAGTGTGGAGGTCAGTAATGTAACGCAGTGCGGAGGTCAGTAATGTGACGCAGTGTGGAAGTCAGTATTGTAACGCAGAGTGCGGAGGTAACTTGTCACTTGCAATGGCAGAGCTGACAGGAGATCGTGGCTGCAGCGGCCGCTTCTCAGGGGAATGGGGGGGCACACGGGACAATTTATGTTAATATTTTTTGGGGACAGATAGAGGTTTCTTTTGGAGGTGTATAATCACCATGGGGGGAAGGGGTGTTATTTTTTATACTATATAATGAAAAAGGTACCGTAAATGTAAAAAAACAAAACAAGGTTTCCCTATGTTATATTATAAAACATCTATTCTTACCCATATTTTTGGCAAAACATAAAAGTCGTGATCTCATCGGGTAAATAGACACCAAACCTGTCAAGCCTTAAAATTGTGCGCGCCCGCAAAATCGCAAAAAACGCCCATAAACGCTTTTACTGCTCATCAGTTTAGTGTTATCAGTGATTAATGGCCCTAAAATGATTGCTCTCACTCCGACGCTTGCGGCGATATGTAACATGTGCGGCACAATAGGTGCAATCGTCGACTCATATCTGCGTGTGTATGTGGGGGGCGGGGACTTAAAGAAAATTGTTTTCTTTTTAAATTTTTTGTGTGCTTTTTTTATGATTCTTTAATTTTTGTATTACTTTTTTTTTTTTTTACACACAACTTTATTGCTATTACATGGGTGGCTAAGGATCCCACTTTGTAATAGCCAATTTACATGACAGGTCCTCTTTATGGAGACATCAGGGGTCTCCAAGACCCCTTATGTCACCTAGGGACCCCCATAGAAGCTGATGAAGCAGAGATCGGCTTCATCAGCTTCTGTAACTGGAGAGTGACACTGAATGCAGGAAGTGATGTAATATACATCACTTCCTTAATTCGGGGACTGAGAGGAGATCAAAGGAAGACCGTATACTGATCTCCCTTTGCTCTCCTGTCACAGAGCCGTGCCGACCCCGACCGCATCGGGCACAGCGGATCTTGGGAGCGGCAACTGCAGTGACAGCTGCTAATGCAAGCGATCGAGCGTCTCTAGAGACGCACGATACCCCCCGAATCCGCCACTGCTTTCAATGAAGTTAAGATTTTTATTCTGTCAGAAATAGAAAAAGAAGCAAAACAATAAAACAGGAATCGGAACTGAAAGAGAAAAACATATTTAAGGGAAGTTGACATTTTATTTTGTCAGAAAAAAAAAAGAAAACATTTTGTGCTGTGTGATAGCACTTGGAGGTGACAGGCTCTCTATATGGCACCTGCCACTTACATTGCAGGATTTCAAAGCACACCATTATGCTAGATCTCATGTGACAGCTGAGACATGAAGGCTGCGAGTACAGCTCTCCTGTCTCAGTGTTCATGCGGGGAGGGTGGCGGACCTGGGGACAGACAGCTCCGCTGTCTTTATTTAGATTTATTGCTGTAACAGGCATGCTTTCAAGTGATCTAGGTGGCTGTTCAAAACGGCTCCCTCACTATACATTTAGCCCTGCTTGCCCGAAGCAGGGCTAAATATAGGAAAAAAACACTCGCCTGGCACCAGGAACTACATGTCCCTTGCGTTGGGCGATAGGAATTCCGCACCCCTGTAAATATAAATATATAATAGCAATAATATACAATATAGAAATATAACAGTGACGTTATAGAGGTTTTAATTACTTTTACTGATTTTTATTAGTTTATAAGTTTGCACATTGATGTGTATGTGAATATTTACACTCAATAAATAATTTATGAGGAACACTATGCTAACACTGGGTATGGACTCTTTGCTTTTAGAACAGCCTTCATTCTCCATGGAATGCATCTCTCATTCCACAAACATTCCTTCCAGGTTCTGGTCCATTGTGACATGATTTCTTTATGCACTTTGTGCAGATTTTCAGCTGCACATTCATGCTATGGAACATCCATTCTACCTCAAGCCAAAGGTGTTCTATTGGACATCTATTATCTGTGTACCTCAGCAGAAATTGAGATTCAACAGATCAAGCTACATTTTTCAGTCTTTAACTGTCCAGTTATGCTTTTGCGCTCAGAGCCAGATTTACTTCTCAGGAGCCTGTAGGCAGAGAGATTTGAAGCCGTGCATATGCATATCGCACAAATGACATGGGCAGAGGTCTGGCGTCTGTCACCTGGATCTGTGAGGGATAATAAACCCACACTCAAGACCCCAAGCCCCCGCCCCTCCCTGTCTTTCCCGAGGTTGCGTGGCCCTGTTCAGGCTGGGAGGACTGAAAAAAAAAATATAATACAGGCAGACAGTGCCCCTCTGTAAAGGGCGTCTGTAGGCAGATGTCTACGTTGCCTAGCGGGAAATCTTGCCCTGATTGCACTACCGCAAATAAGAAAACCCATTGTAGAAAGAAAGTACATCCCTTGGCCACTCTGCATATGTTCTTGTTTCTACTTGGAGAGAGTGAGGAAGTGTGTGTTTCTCCTCTTATTCACTCAGCTATTAAGGTTAAAATAGGTTTTTCCACCACATCTGTCTGTGTGTTACATTGCCTATCAAATTGGGGGTGGAATTGAGCTAATAATGGTCAGTCTGCATCAATTCTTTCTTCAGAAAATTTCTTAAATTAGATTGTGTTTTAGATTTTGGGTCTCCTTCACTTGATATTCATTTTTGCTGGCAGGCAGCTGTAATGGACCTTGTGGACAGTGATAAAGAGAAAGGCCTGACGGTACCAGTGTGGGATGAGTACAAGAGACTGCTGTGCAAAGCTGGATGTGAGGTATGGAACCAACTCTCAACGTATGTGGTGTCACCCTTACGACAACAGATAAAGATACCTTTATTGGTCTATACTGCTTGAGACTGAAGCCTTAACTTGACAAACTTTGCTGCCTTGTTCTTTTACCCATCCAGTATATAAATAGATTTCCCTTTTTCTCAAATCAAAGTATAGGGCATAAAATTACTGGACTTTTGCATTATATGAGTTAATACACATATAAAAGCAGTCAGTAGTTGTTTCTGCATTCCTTAAAAATAATGCATTTGTAAGGACTTGGTCACTTGCCTTCACTTTCTACAGTACCTGATATGGGTGTGTGTTTACATCGTTTGCTCTGATCTCTGAGAGTTTTTGCACTACACCTTGCTAGATGATTTGGTATATAGCTTTGTGTACTTGTCAGCTGCCTCCAATGTGGCAAACCAAGGACTGCATCCTGCAAATATCACAAAGAGGTCCCCATTACCTTCAGGTGATCTTTGGTGAAGACTGGGCAATGTTTGGACTCTCCCAGAGGGGAGCTCACACCACTGACCGCACATAGACACTTTATACTGAGTTGCCACATGCCAGCTAAAAGTTAAATCAGACTTGCAGTGGAAGGGTAATGTCATAGCTTTCTAGGGAGTTCATAGTATAGTCACTCATGGGTATGTGCTAGGTTGACAGCCACTACAAGGGAATATCCTATTACTCTCGAGGCACCTATTACTCTCGAGACTGCCCTTAAGATTAGAGAACAGAAAATATCTGCCATGGGGGGAAAGTCTTGAGTGCTTAGAATAGCTGAAAATTCGGAAAAGCCATTGGAGGATTTCACAACTCAGAGCAGAGTAAGAAGGATGTGCGCAGTAAAAAGGAAAATACAACTTATGCTGCGTCTTTTATTACAAGCTGCTTTTTTTTTCTCTCTCCCATGCTAAGCCCAGTAAAGAGATGCTAGTTCCCCCTGCTTCTGAGTCGGTTGTCTAGTTGAACTCTAGACAAATGCTGAATACATCTCTTTTGCGGAAGTACCAAGAGGAGACCTACCAGATAAAGTAAGCTCAAGGTAGTCATTAGCCGGCCAAAGAGCAGGAAGATGGAATTGCAGAAAGGTGCCCATCACCCTCATTAGAGTGTTCAGGCATATTGCACAGTAGGGCTACATGGATTTCAATAGAAAGTGCTTCACTTTACTGTTCCTTGTTGGCAAGACATCTCTTTTCAAGAAGTGGTCTGTAAATCTGGCAACATTTTTATCTTACAGGCTCCCCTTAAAAAAGTGGAAAGATTTTCATTTTACGAAAGAGCAAAGAATGCTTTTGCTGTTGTGGCCACTGGGTAAGTATTTAAAAATATGGAAGCAGTGTTATCTAAACTGGATCCTACAGCAGTTTTTTGGAGGTAACTACCATGTCAATGTGCTTGAGATGGTGCAAAAATGCAAACATCTTTTGTGGCTCCCCCTCTTCTACCTGACTACAGACAGCTCTGGGTCATACAAATGGAGATACAACCTTCCATTTGTTGCATATTTGATAAAGGTAAAACAAAAACAGGTTCATCAAGTCCAACCTCTGTGTGGGTTTTATTGTTTTGATTTAGAAGTAGTAAAAAATCAACCCCTATAGCCATAAGCCAATTTGCTGTAAAATGTAAAAAAAAGAATAACTTCCTGACCCCAAACTGGCAATCAGATAAATGCCTGGATCAACCTCCTATCGAAATAAAACGTTCCCATGAGTCTGTATGTAATGCTGACAGGTGGAAGAGATCAAATGTTTTTTTTTTAATCACAGTTTATATAATCACCTTTTGATATATTTATACATTGTAAATATATTCCCCCTTAAGCACCTCTTGTCTAGAGTGAGTAATTGTAATCTTTGTAATCATCCCTCATAACTGAGGTCCTCCAAACCCCTTACTAATTTTGTTGCCCTTCTATGAACTCTTCCTAGTCCAAGCACATCCTTCCTGTGGATTGGTGACTAAAACTGAACTGCATATTTAAGATGAGGCTGAACCAGTGTTTTATAAAGAAGTAGAATTGAGAATTTAGCTTTTGAATACAGTATATGCCTTTTTTTTTTAAATAAAAGAGAGTATTTTGTTTCCATGTTAGCTGATAATTGACATGGCATTCTATTGCTAAGTCTGTGATCTACAAGGACCCCCAAATCTTTTTCCATCACAGATTCACCCAAAGGAGCCCCTCCTAATCCGTATTTCGCATCAATATTTTTAGTACCCTAAATGCATTCCTTGTAGCTTGTAGAAGATGACAAGGGTTTCTTCTGATTTTATATGTTTTAAAAGACATATTTTTTTGATTAATTTGCCTTTTGCACTAAATACAATTGTTTAAAACCTTGAAACACTCACACTTCTTTACTGTATTCTTTGTGAAGACTATTAGATCCCATTGAATATTATACACTAGAGTGCAGCTTAATAAAGTTAGCCTTTTTGAAATGTAGCGTACTTATTCCAACAGTCCTTTTTGTTCACTACGGTTGTGACTCTCCATTAGATGGTTCTATGTATATAACAAGAATATGATCTGCAGCACTTCACAAAAAAAAAAAAAAAAAAAAACACATGTCCTAGAGATGCTGGGAAGCTAGAATCCACATAACTCCCTTATTTGATCTTCCCAGATAGAAGCCATGACTCATGCTTACAAAGTGTTCTTGGGTTTGTTTGGTTTGCTATGGGTACTTATTTACATATTTAGGACTTAATCTGGCCATACACTAATATTTATTTTTTTCAGTCAGATTCCTCCAACTCTAAACAGGGTGGTTGGAAGAATCTCCATCTGCAGCTATTGCATTCTAACAGCTTGCCCCCACTGCTGTCACAATACATAAACAGTGACTGCAACTGCTGGTCACTCTCCAGCCAAATATGTTGGGCCGTTTAACAAAAGTCAAAGTAGTCAGCTTCTTCCAAGCCAGTAGGGAAACCCACTGTAAGAGTTTTGGATGATTCTTGTGAATAGGCCAACATTTTACCCGGCTAGCCTTAGTTAGATCTCCGCAAGTTTCTTTTTTTTTTTTTTTACAATACTCCATATATTTACAGAATAGGTATAAACATATTCTGCATGTTGTTTTTTTGTGTGTTTTTATTTTTTAGAAGATACAGATTATTTTTTTTTTTTTAAATTCTTTATTGTAGATCAGATAGAAAATACATTCCATTGGACATATAGGGCAACCGCCCAACACAGAACAGAACAATAAACTGAGACATCACATGCATGTCCTCATATATGTTATGACACATTCATTGTACAGAAATGGAGCAAAACTCCCAACGGGAGTAGATTTCTCTACATAAAACCCGTAGCGGGTATCACACTATCATTGTATCATATATAAGCATAACCTCATTGGTATCATCCACCACACTATGGTACTCAAATCCCTGACAAACATATGCAACATAGTACGTATTCGTGGTGTATGATTGCATCTCCGGGCCCATTACCGTAGCTTGGATGGAAACATTTTCGGCTAGCCTATCAAGAGCTTAGACCTTGGGGGCACTGGAGAAAGGACGCTGTGGACAGGGTACTCCGAGATCGGAGATAGAGGAAGGAGGAAAGACAAAGATTAAAAGATAGGAGCAGTAGTGAAGGTAAAAGTAAGGGTAGGTCACCACTTCCCCTCCTCACGGCCCAGCACCACCGTCAGGAGCCTGGTCTGTCATGACCCTCTGGTAGGTATCTGTATATCTGAAGTGGAGCCAAGGACCCCAGGTCGCGCCAAACCATTCCTCTGTGTTGTGGATAGACGCTGTGAGATCTTCCATACGGTAGATGTCATTAATTTTATCGAACCAGAGACGCAGAGTTGGAGGGGTTGGTCGCCTCCAGAGTAAGGGGATACAGGCCTTGGCGGCCGAGAGCATGTGGATGGAGAGTGAGCATTTGTATTTGGTGACAGCAGTGCCCGTCATGTGTAGAAGGTATGTAGCAGGCTGGTCCCCCGGGTCCGCCATGGTGAGTTGTGTCATGATTTCCCTCACCGCATCCCAAAAGGGTCTGATCTTTGGGCAAAACCAGAAGATGTGGGCCATGTTCCCCTGTATATGATCACATCTCCAGCAATTGGAGGGTACCAGGGGATTCATTTTGTGTAGGAGTGTTGGGACCCTATACCATCTGGCCAAGATTTTGTAGCCCTGTTCCTGGAACTGATTAGCGATGGATGCCTTATGTACCAGGACTAGAATTTTTTCCCGTTGCTCCTCCGTGAACATCTGCCCCAACTCAGCCTCCCATTTCCTGATGTATGGAGGGCAGTAGTCCTGGGGGGGTATAGAGAGCATCCCGTATATGACAGCAATGGTGTGTCGCACCGGGAGGCCCTGCCTACACATGGTTTTGAAGGGTGTAAGGTCCCGAATGGGGACTGCTGACTGCGGGATCGCCTGCAGAAAGTGCCTCAGTTGCATTGCCGTCCAACCTGACAAAGGAGGAGCTGTCAGTGCGCATATGGCCTGGTGGGAAAGGATGGTCCCCCCCTGGAGGATATCCATCATTCGGAACTTGTTAGCAGTGCGGAGTCCCCTCAGCACCGGAGTCATAGGGGATGGGAATGGGGAGAGGGATGTCACCCTGAATGACTCCCTCACCGATCTCAGGGTCGCCCCAATGGTAGGGTGTGAGGCCAGGGGTAATGGCGCCGTGAGCCAAGGCAATCCCTCTATGGGTATCCTAGACTCCCCTAGTTCCATTTGTACCCATTGTTTGCTCTCTTGGTTGCACGTCCAATCTACGACTCGGGCCAGCTGAATTGCCCGATAATACATGAGGACGTCAGGGAGACCTACCCCACCGTGTCGTTTAGGCAGCGTGAGGATCTTATGTCCTATACGCGGCGGATGACCCGACCACACGAACATAGTAAACAAACAACGTAGTTTGAGGAAGAACCCCGCGGGAGTTGTATGGGCAGAGCCTGCATTAGGAATAGCAGTTTCGGGAGGATGGTCATTTTGATGGAATTACATCTCCCGAACCAAGTCAGGAACAGACCATGCCATCGGGTGAGGTCTTGACTAATGAGGAGGAGCATAGGTGCAAAATTGACGTCATACAACTGTGCGAGGTCAGGTGTGAGCAGGGTCCCTAAATATTTGATGTGGTTCGAGGCCCATTGAAACCGAAACCGAGACCTAAGCTGCGAGGTCGTTGTTTCAGGTAAGGTGATTGCTAACGCCGCGGATTTAGAGAGGTTGACTTTAAAGTTTGAAATGTAACTATACTGGTCAAAGAGTCGAAGCAGATGGGGGAAAGAACCCTCAGGATCAGGGAGGAAGAATAAGAGATCGTCCGCAAAGGCCGCCACTTTATGTTCTCCCGAATCATTGAGGAAGCCTTGGATCTCCGGGCTGGATCTGACAGTGCACAGGAGGGGTTCAAGAGTGAGGACGAAGATGATGGGTGACAAGGGGCACCCCTGTCTAGTCCCATTACTGAGAGAAAAGTAATTTGAACGTGCCTCATTAACATTGACCGCCGCGGTGGGGCAGGAGTACAGGGCAGCTATCCACCTGTGCATATTGGGTCCCAATCTTATGTGGTCCAAGACAGCATGCATAAAAGGCCAATGAACTTGATCAAAGGCCTTCTCTGCGTCAGTGGGGACTTCTTTGCGCGGGCACCATGGATGACATTCAGGGCCCTGGTGGTGCTGTCTCTAGCCTCTCTTGCCGGGATGAAACCCACCTGGTCGAAGTGGACCAGCCCTGATGTGTGGGAGAAGTCTGTTTGCCCGGATCTTGGAGAATAGTTTAAGATCGACATTGAGTAGTGCTATCGGGCGATAGCTGCCACACAATGAGGGGTCCTTGTCTGGTTTCGGGATGAGAGTGATGTGAGCGTGAAGAAAATCTGTCGGGCGCCGGCACCAGTCAGGATAGTGTTGAGGGCTGTCACAAAATGTGGGTTGAGGGTTTCCGAGAATGCTTTATAGTAAGACACGGTGTACCCGTCTGGTCCCGGGGCCTTCCCATAACGAGATTGCTTTAAGGCCCCCTCAAGCTCCTCGATGGAGATAGGGGCCTCCATATCGAGTCACGCGTCATCCCCCAGCACCGCCATCGCCGCGCGGGCCAAGAAAGCCTCCATGGCTGATTGTAAACCTGGGGGGCGGATTAGTACCCCCAGGGGGGTGCAAGTTGTACAGGTCCTGATAGAACCTAAGGAATTCCCCCGCTATGCCCTGTGAGGTGTGTAGCTTATTGCCCCCCGCTGAGACAATGGAAGGTATAAATTGCCTCGGTCTTTGGGCCCGCAATGCCCTTGCTAGGAGTCGCCTAGGCTTGTT